CATGCCTTCATTTCATTTTTAGAAGCATTAACAGTGATTTGTTTCCCCATCATGTCCCTTAATTTCCAGGTTTTGCGAAGGCTGCTGTTCTGCACATCAGATGTGTAGGAATACAAAGAGCTGCTGTTATTCTAGAAGAAAATCATGTATGCAAAGTCATATTTTGGCAGGACCCTGGCAGAGTATTTTTTTCTTGCCGGCACCAAATCCCGCATTATCATGTTCATGCTTTGCTGAGCATTGCAGACTGGCTGTTCTTGTTTTGGACAGTTCATCCATGGGCTAGGATAAATTGCCCTACCTGCCAACTCTCACTGGCATTTGCCAAGTTGTATGCGCAGAACACCCTGGGCATACATATTGAGATAATGTAAGAACTCTTCGGACATGGTGTGAAATCCAGCATTTGGCAATATGTTATCATAGTAGTGATGACTGAGGGGTTCACCAGTGAGGTCATATGAGAATGGCCAGAAACCATAGAGAGTGATGTGCTCACAGAACTCCAGAGCTATGCTGATGAACAGAAAGCCAGTTGACAGGCGGATTTCTTTCAATCCTTTCTGTTCCCAATACTTACGAATGGCACCCAGGTAGTGTGGATGGAGGAAGAAAGCCCTGTGGGTCAGGCCAGAATCTTTCATGATGGACACAGCACGGCAGCCAAGAACATGATGAGAGCTGAAGGACAACGAAGGAATGAGGAAAAGGGCATCTCTATAGGCCTGAAGAGCATCCAGAAAAGGCTTCTGTGGACCCTGCAGGCTTTGAAATCTTCAAAAGAAAAAAGAAAAAGAAAAGTAAAACCACATTCAACAATCAAAAGCATGTGAAATAAACAGATTTGGGCAAATAAAAGTCTATTTGGTTTTTAGCAAAACTCTATTAAGTGAAGCTAGAGGCAAAATTATGTCTTGGAGGCAGGAACTCTAGAGTAAGAAAACCAGCAAAGCCAGGTCTGAGTTCCTTTAGAAGGATTGGACCTTAATAGAGAAGACAGAGGAGAAAGCTTTTGCAGTTGATGCTGCTCAACAACTCCAGAGGGGTCAGAAACTGATCTGCTAGCAATCACTCAGGGTTCTAAGAGTTGATCCAGTGCCTTGGTTTATACAACCCATTAAACCCAAGTTAACAACATACAATTGCTGGGTTCACGTAATGAACTATGACCAAACAAAAACGCTATAGTGAAGCTTTATTGTGATGGCCTGATTCACCTAACCTGCTAAGACAATGGGTGTGTTCCCCTAATACCTTGAACCACAAATTCCCTATCCCTATTTTAACCAAATCTAGCAAGTTGTGCAAACCCCATGTGGCTATCTTCTGCATCCTGTATATAAATACAGATAGGTTTGGAGAAGGGGTGGGAATTTGACCAGGCAATAGGTAAAGTCCCTCCTTCATCTTCACTAAAGGGATCTACCATCAAAGTTTCCTGTGACTTGCTGCCATAATTTCTGTCTCTGTCTCCAATGAAAACTTCTCTTTGCACCACATTTTCTCTTCATTTCCATATGTCCCTGCCCAGTGTCCTCCTTCCTGATGCCACAAGTTTGGAAGCTAAGGTACTGGGTTACTGGGACAATGCCTGCTTATTAATTAGGTCTCTGGTTCAATCTTTGCCACCTCTAGCTACCAGGACTGAATTATAGTTGGTGACCTCAGCTGATCTCTAAAAGCTAAATAAATGCCTAATCCTTGGACTGGGGATAATCAGGAAATGAGAATCAGAAATGAGAATCTGGAGAAACATTCCAGAGGAAGGCAATGGTAAACCACTTCCAGACTGTAGCCAAGAAAACTGCAGGGACATGTCCATGAAGTCACCAGCAGTTGAGCTCAGCTCGAAGGAAACTTGATACAAGCCTCAGTTACTGGATCCACATAATACACTAAACCCAAACCCAAGAAACTGGTCCAGTATACAGTATATTCCCATGTAGAGGTCCTTCTCAAAAGGGATCAGTATACATGAAAAAATATGGGTTATGTGTTTCTTAGAAGTTCAGAGTGGCCACATTCCTCAATTCACAGACTGAGTTGTAGTGGATCATTGTTGCTATCCACCCCACGATCTCCTTACTTATTATTCAAAATACTGGGGTTAATGGTCACTAGGCTTGTCTTGGTTCCCACATCTTCGGTATAATTCATAGGAGGCAGATTAAATCTGGTGGGGAGAGAATGCAAAACAGGCACACAGATTAATCTCAAACCAATCCATTACTGTTATTTAAAAGTGCAAAACAGGGGAAATGGGTAGGTTCGGTTTGGGCATTGTTATTGCCAGAACCTCACCTTCTGAAATTCTTTGTGCTAACTCTTGATCTTGTTTCAGACCTGTCCACCTGTTCAGTCCAGATCCAGACAGTACAATTTTCTGAAAGTGGCATCTCTTGAAGAAATAGCTTCCTTGACACTTTAATTTTAGGGTTTGATGATTGATATACTTTATAATGATAGAAATAATTTGTATTACTTTTTCTTATATCTTTTATTGATATATATTTATTTTGTATCATTTTAAACATTACAGTTAGTCAGAAGTCAGAAGTTATCTCTTTCTTTTCCTACTTTTTCTCTTCTTGTATTTCTTTTCTGATCTTTTCTCTCTCTTCTTTTCCTTCTCTTAATTTTCTTATATTTTATTCTTTATTGAAATTTAATAAAGTTTATAAAAAAGAAATAGCTTCTTCTTTGCCACTTTCTTTGGATATGCCTTCCATCCAACCCCTGTTTTTATCAGACTGAGAGGAAGTTTTATGACCATAATATTCCAAAATAAGCTATTGTTTTAACTGCAAAAGTACTAGAAATTAAAGCCCCCTTGCCCAACAGAAAAGAGGGACTAGTTTGGGGCTGATTCAAGAATGTGAAACCCTCAAAAAAGCAAGAACAAATTAACTAAAGGGGCCAAAATCCCAAGGTGACCTTAAAATAAAAGGCTAAAGAGAAAAATCACCAAGTACTGTAAAGCAACAGATGGGGGTAGAAACAGGGAAGCAATTCTGAATATACATGGAGTGTTGGAAAGGACCATTTCAGCCACCTCCCTAAGTAATTGGTTCTATTCTTGAACTGCTCTTAACGTTAGGAAGTTTTCCCCAACATTTACTCAGAATCTGCCTTCTTGTAATTTAAATCCATCCTTCCATGTCCTGAACTCTTGATTTTTTGGGGGGTATTGTTTGTGGTACGTACAGGTAGTCCTCATTTAATGACTGCCTCATTTAGTGACCATTCACAGTTACGATGGTGATGAAAAAGTAACTTTACGACCCATCCTTGCATTTATAACCTTCACAGATCAGTAAAGGAAAGGAAAGCTGAAGTAAGATCGTAAGCACAGTTGCAGTTTCACTTATCAACCACTTTGTTTAACAACTGAGTTGCCAGTCCCAATTGTGGTTGCTAAATGAGGACTACCTGTAATAGGAATGTATTTGCTTGTCAGGATAGGTATTTTAAGTGTTCAACGTTACCCATCCCCACAGGGAAGAAGTGAAGTCCCTCTGTAGCATCCAAGGATGAAGTGACTGGGGAAAAGCAATGAAGGAGAAAAAGGAGAAGGAAAGAAGAGAGTAGAAGGGAAAGGGAAGGAGAGGAAGAGGAAGAAGAAGGAGAGGAGGAGGAGGAGAGGGAGAAGAAGGAAAAGAGGGAGGAGGAGGAAGTGGAGGTGGAGGAGAGAGGGAGGAGGAGAGGGGAAAGGGGAGGGGAAGAGGAAAGCAGAAGGAGAGAAGAGGAGAGGGCACAGGGAGGGAGAGGGGGAAGGAGGAGGAGAGAAAAAAAAGATGGAGAAGAAAGATGGGAAATGAGAAAGAAAAGAAGAATGCAGCAACACGGGCAGTTATGGGCGCCCCTAGGGCTGTGCATGTAACACCTCTGCTGTGTGAGCTGCATTGGGTGCCAGTTTGCTTCTGGGTCCAACTGAAGGTGTTGGTTATGACCTTTGAAGCCCTTCATGGCATGGGCCCAGGTTACCTGAGGAACTGTGTTGTCCTGGTCACATCAGCTCGTCCCACCCAGTCTGGCAGAAAGGGCATGTTGCAGACCCCCTCGGCTAGAGAATTTTGACTGGCGGAGTCCAGGCCTTTTCTGCCATTGCCCCTCCCCTGTACAATATCTTTCCCCCTGAGGTGAGGTTGGCCTCCACTCTGTGGACCTTCCAGAAAAGCCTTAAGACCTGGCTCTGCTGATTAGCTTGGGGATCCGATGGGGGCTCCTAGCACTGGGAGATCCAATGTGGGTGAGGATGCTCTCCCCATCTTTTAACTTTGCTTTGTGCTTT